GGGCCCCAGGCCCCGCCCTGGCATGGCTGTGGCAGGTACTCTTGGGCACCAGCCCCGGCCTCAGACCCCCACCCAGCTGGCCACCTTCCCAGCCCACTGCCCCACTGTGGCTCCCTGGGCACTCAGATTGCAGGCATCAGAGCCTCTGGTCCTCTCCCCAAACCTCTGAGAGACCACTTGGCTGTGAGAAATGACCCCTTCGAGCAGCCAAGGCCCTTGACCCCCTGCACCATCCAGGAAGCCCAGCTTCCTACCGCTCGGTCCAGACCCTTCTCCTCGGTAGAAACGGGGGCCTGCCGCCTGCCCTCTGCCAGCACCACTGAGAGGAGTGGGGAGTCCCTGGCCAGCCAATCAGTCTCAGGGGGAAAAGGTCAGGACATGCATCACACTGACACACAGCAACACAGTTCTCTACGAGGAGAAACATTCCGAGAACCGTCATTGTCCCAGTGTGGGGGGGAGGGGCTGAGGCAGAGGGGCTGCTGAGCAGTGAGATGACAGGCGGGAGCCTACGGTCACCCGGACCCAGGGCTCCTCGTAGAGCAAGGACTACTTTCCTGGCAGTCGCCCAGGCAGAAAGGTCAGGTCATGAGATTCCTCCACAAGCAGCCCCCAGGGGCCAGGAGGTCTCAGCTTCATGGGTCCTAAATTCTGCTGTTCTGTTTGCCAGACCCGCCACTCCTTTCACATTTTTCCCACATGTTCCTTCTGCTTCCTGGGGCTTCGGGCTTTATCTTATTTTTCTTCTCTACAGTCTGGAAGTGAACGCTTAGCTCATGTACTATTTATTCTCTCTTGCTTATAATGAAAACATTTGAGACGTAAGTTCCCTCCAACTACGTTTTTGGCTGCCTCCTGAATTCGCCGCATAGCGTATTCTGTACTGACGTTTTCCAAATGTGCCGTCTGTGCCGTGGCCTCCTCTCGGACCAGGGTTCCTTGGAAGCACCTGTCAAGTTGTCTGCTGACCTCAGTGTGACGGAGGGTCTTCCACTGCCCCGGGCATGGCGGACGGTCGTCATCCACATGGCGGTGCTCAGTGTCCGTCGTGCATGTGGCTGCTGCACGTGGGCACCTGTGCCGTGAGCAGCCTTCACAGGGAACAGCAGAGGACAGAGTGGAAACCACAGTGGAGGCTCTTCTTCTGTTGCTCCCTGGAAGCCTGACTTACTGTTCCCTCCACAGAATTCTCACTTCTCAATACTTCTGGCCTGCCTGTGGATGGCACCTCTCCTGACCTCAGAATGGACAGTGACCCTTCCTGCATCGTCTCTGTTCGAACCAGAGGGGATGTGTACCCGTCACCATGTGCCGGGGTGTACTGCTGTAACAAACACACCCACCAGAGCCGATGTTGACTTCTTGCTCACACAAGTCCTCTGTGAGGTGGCTGCGCCCTGCTCTGAACGGTCCTCACACCAGAACCCAGCGCAGGCCACCACCTGAAGTATTGCTGGTCACCATGTGAGCACGGGACATCATGTGCTGCTTCTAGAAGCCTCCCCAAAGTGCCACATGTCACATAAATGTACTTTTGTGAACAGACCGAGTACATGGCTGTGCCTGACTGCAGGGGGAGAGCAGAGGGTGCAGGCCCACCCTGAGCCCAGAAGTGCCAAGCCACTCAGCAAGTGGAAAGTCATTCACACCACTCGCGTACCCATCTACACGCTTGCACACTTGGGAGCATACACAACTACACACAAGGACACCTATGCTTGCACACACATACACATACACAAGTACGCATGCATGCCACGTCTGATGTGCTCCCAGGACTGCGGGTCAGTGTCACCAAACACAGCCCCTTATCTGGGGGGTGGTCTCTGAGCACGGGATAGTGAGTCAGCTGTGCGTCACCTTGGGGAACCTGGTCCCTGCAGAGCAGCCGTCGGCTCGGCCGCACAGGAGCCACCCTTCCCAGGGTGCCGTCCCTCCCCCTCCGCTCCACATCATCCTGCATTTAACCCCAGTACCGTTCTCTCCAACCATTCCTGCTTGGGCGTCAGGCTGCCCGGGATCCCCACTGGGCTGGTGTAGGGACATGAGGTTGTCCTGGGAACCAGGACAGTGAGGACATGGTGCTGGACACAGCAGGGTGTTCAGCATTATCCACTCAAGTTTTGTGTCTGGCAGTGGGGTTATTTTTTCTCATCCACATAAGCCAAGGACCCAGGGCCCAAGTGCCTGGCCAGGGCCCCCAGCTGGGGCGTGGGGAGGACCTCAGCTGCCCTGGCCCCCAACCACAGCCCACGCATCCTCATCCAGGGTGAGGCGTGACCCAGGCTTCAGGGCCAGACCTGGACACTGCTACAGGTGTAACGAGGGGCTGTTTTTAAGTGGGAATTACCCCAGAATTAGACAAAACTGTGATTCCCAGCTACCCAGCACCACTATTGTAAAGGGAGGTTTGCGATTTTTTAGTAGGCTTGACATTTTGGCACCATGTAATATTTTACATAATTTCAGAAAATTCAATGTTCAAGAAGCCATCTCTAAAAAGCAAATGAGACAAGAGAAGCCAGCTGACTGTGCGGGCCAGTGGCAGTCCAAGGCAGGTGTTCCAAGGGACTTGAACACAGTGAAGTGACACCAACCACCACCAAGAAAACGGGACTTTCCCAAGACTGGAGGCGGGCAGACCGAGGGGACATGTGACGACACTAGGACACGGTTGTTCGTCACGTCTGGTCTGGTGCTGGGTCTGCGGTCGGGCTCCCAGGAGCCCTGCCTCTGGAGCCGCCTGTGGAAGCCCGGCAGGTGGCGGGAGCGATGCCAGGGGCTGCGGGGCGGGGGTGGGGCGGAACGGGCCTGCCGGCTGTGAGCCCGAGGCCGCCTTCAACTCCTCTGCGGTTTCTGAGCGCCTGACATTTGTACAACAAAGAGCTAAAAAAAAATACCACTCAGACTGCGTTTTGAAACTGAGGAGTAAAGGACTATTTTTGGAAGCGATGTCCATGTGGCCAAAGGGTCTGCTTTCTGGGGAGCCCATGGGTCAGGCACCCTGGCCGGCAGGCTTGCCCTTGGTCTAAGGCTGCCACAGAGACGCAGAGCTGACCCCACACTAACCCTTCCACAGGCTGGGGAGGGGTCGGAGGAGGGAAGACTGGGAGCAGGTCACACCTGTGTACCACGAGTGTCTTCTCATCACGCAAGTGACACAGAGGCAGCATGTGACCCTGGTGTCCCTGAGGCCCAGGCAGAAGGCCCGGCTCCCGGATGCCCCAGACCCCAGGTGGGGCCCCAAATACACCTGGAGAGAACCCAGGTCTCTGCATGCATGAGATGGACTGAAGATGGATGGTGACAGGCCAGGGGACAAGGGGCACATTAGCCCAAAGTGGAGACAGGATTTGGGTCCCTGGGGCCCAGGGCACCTGCAGGAGGCAGAGGGAAGGCTTGTTCCCATGGGAGCCCTGCAGCTAGAGGGCTGATGGGTACTGGATTCTCTAATTAAACATTGTTATGTAATTAGAATCTGCTCCCCAGCCTGGGAGAGGCGCTGAGGTGGGAGTTATCACCGCTGGGCCAAAGCCCAGGCACCAGAGGCAGGGAGGAGGCTTGTTGGGAGGGGGCTGGTCCAGGGAAAAGCGGGGGCACTCCTCCCGGGGCACCCTGAGCCCTGTGCTGACCTGCACTGAGGGCAGAGACCAAGTGTGTAGGTGGGGGTCCCGGGGCACCAGGCAGCTTGGGGGCATCCTCAGGACGAGCAGCAATGGCTCCCAGGGCCAGGCCTCCGCTCAGCCCGTCATGGGGAACTCTCCCTCTCCAGGCCTCAGTTTCCCCTTTGGAGAGAAGGTCCCAGCCAGGGCCCCAGCTTTCCTGGCTCCCAGAGCCTCCCCTTAGGTGTGCGGACCAGAGTGACAAGAACGGATATGGCTCTAGGCTGTCAGGAGGTCCCCAGAGACTCTATGGCCTGAGTGCCTTTGCGGCCCCAGAAAAAAACATTTGGGCTCAGAAATACAAGCAATCACTGTTTTGGTACCAAGAATCTTACAATTAAGATTTCTGCAATCTTAAGGAAAACATAAGTAACACGAACGAACATCAGGAATATGTGTGTAATTCTCATTTTAACCTACGTTATTTGATCATCTTCAGAAGAAAAACAGGTTAGTTGAGCCTCTTTGACTTGAAATTAAGAAGGTTCTCCCTCCACGCAGACCCAGAAGCAGGGGACCAGCTGCCCTAAGAATGCGACATCAGAGAAAGGCCCGGAAGGCTGGCGCCCTGCTATCTCCGCCCGGCAGCTGGCTCTCCTGACATCCTGGAAGCAGGCACCCTGGAAAACCCTGGTCATCGGGGAAGAGCCGTGGGAGTGTGGAGGCGCTGCGCCCCCACACCTCAGGCCCATGACCTCAGCCCAGGCTGCTGGCACCAGCCTTATCACTGCACAAGGAACGTTCCAGAAGTAGCAGAGGTGCTGTTTGTACAAAACCTGGCTTCGAGGGGCACAGGTACCAGACCTGACTTACCCCAGCGGCTGATGCTGCGTGGCCACCACCCGCCCTCTCCGTCCGGGACGAACCTCAGGATACCGGTGCTTAGAGCACAGAGAGGGTCTGAGTCCCTCTGAGGGCCGGCTCATGGCAGCGCCGGGGCCAGGTGGGTGCCGGGCGGGGGCCAAGTCGGACCCTGACACAGCCATCAGTCCAATCGTGCAGCTGTCTGAGGGTGGGACCCACACCCAAGCCAAGGCTCTGAGGTGATTCCAGCAACCAGTGACCAGGTTCCTTGTCCAACCAGTGGACCCCAGGGCCCTCCCTCCGCTCGAGCCGCACATCCTCCAATGTCCCCAAGGCCACGGGCAGCTAGTCCCAGCCCAGCACAAACCCCACGCCTCAAGACCCGGGAAGGGCCCGCGCTCCCTTTCACATCCTCAGACCGAGGGTGTAAACCAGTGTTTCGCAGCCTGACCTTCAAACCTGGGACCCGCAACGACAGTAGCTGTCTCGCTCACATGGCAGCCAGGGCACAGAAGGAAGCGCCGTCCCACGGCCTGAGCTCCTACAGCATTTATTGACTCCCAGGAGGGGCGGGTGAGGGGTGGTCTGCCCTACCAGTCCAAACAAGTGACAGTCAAGGAGGCTGTCCTCCAGGTTCAGGGTGGCAACAGTGAGGAGTAGGCCCTCGCTGGCACCTGTTTGTCCCCGGAGCTCACGGCATGTCCCAGGCCAGGTCAGAGCAGGACGCTGCCATCCAGTTGCATCTGCCGGGCCAGCTGCTGCCCGATGGCCAGTAGGGGGCTGGCTCTGTACGCTGGATCGGCCAGCAGGTCCCGGAAGCGGGTCCTTTCTTCCTCACTGAAAGAATTGAGGTCAGAGGTCAGCAGATCCATGCCCCTGAAGCAGTGGGGAGAGCATTTTGCACCCAGGACCTGCCTGGACTGGGCCGCCCCACACCCAGGCATCACGGTGCAGGCTGAACCGTGGAGTGGACAGGAGAGGCAGGGACAAGGGGGTGAGGAAGGCAGCCTGAGCCCCCCAAGCAGGGGCAGAGGCAGCCTTCTGGGTCAGGCCAAGGGGGCCTGGGGCTGAGCAGGGTTTCGGGCAGGAGGGAAGAGGCTGCCCTGGGGCCTCTTCATCATTACAACAACCCTGGAGCACCTGTGCCCGCCCGCCCATGGGGTTGTGGGGCGCTGGCTCCCTGCCCCATCTGCAGGAAGGAGGGGGTCTGGGCCCCCACACCTGACTGTGACAAGGAGCTACTATTAAAGGCAAGAGGCTACCAAACACAGGGAGGTGGCAGTCTGCACGCTCCCGGCACACAGCCTTACATAAGAGGTGCCCGCCCTCCAGCGCTGCCAAAGCAGACTCGGCCACTGCAGAAATGAAGGGCCCGGAGTTCTGCACCCCTCACAGGCCCTGGGCCAGCTCTGCTCACAAAGGAGCACCATGGCGACAGAGGCAGCACCTGCTGCCTTCCCAACAGAGGCAGCCTGGTGTCAGGAAGAGTAGGTGGGAGACCAGCCTGTGCTCCGTCTCTGCATGTGTAACCATGGGCAAGGCCCCGCCAGGCCAGGCCCCAGCTTTCCCGGCTCTTAATGGGAAAACTTGAACTCCACTGGGCAAGTGACTGCCTTAGGCAGGTGCCAGCACCTAGGATAGCACCTCCCCCCAAACCCAAAGGACCTGGGCCCAAGGGCAAGCCCCAAGAGGTGGCAGCAGCTGCTCCCCACACTACCCCAGGGGAAGGGGCTTCCTGCCTCCACTGCAAACAGGCTGCTTCACCCCAACCAGGCTCTGCCCCAGAGCTGGCCCTGGCCGAACTGCCCACCGCACCCAAGTGGACTGAGGTTGGGGGACCTGGCCAGAACCTAACTGCCCTGGGGGTGGGGCAGGAGGGAAGATGGCAGCACCAGGGCCTCGTTTGGGCGTGGGCGGTGCACTCACAGGAGCTGGAGCCTCTGCACTGCGCTCATCCGGCTCAGGTCGGCTGGCCGGGGCTTGCTGCTGGCTCGGCTGTGGACAGAGAAGTCAGGTCAGTGCCACACATGTTCACCTGGTCCGCCAAGGGCACTTCTCTGCAGCTGCAGCCACAGGAAGGCCTCAGGAGGGCACCGGGACCAGCGCCCCTCTCCCCAGGTGGGACTCTGGGAGTGCAAGGGGGCGGGAGGGGAGAAACCGGCCGAGTCTTGGCGAACCCCTAAACTCACCCCCAGGCCAGGAGGCTGAAGCTTTAACTGATATTTCTTTTTGAAACAGAAATGGAAAACCTTCTGGTCCACCCAGGACCACTCCTGCACCCCCGTTCCCATCACTCCAGCTCAGCCTGACTTGCCACCCACTTTGCTCCAGGACGCTGCTCCACTCCCCCTGCCACTGACCCTGTCCCCGTCCCTGTGTCATCCTGGGCATGGTGCAGCTCTACTAGAGCCTGTGCTCGCAGAGCTGGGGGCTCAGGACTCCCCTCCTCCAGTCGGAGCCCCCAGAAGGTGGCCATGCGCTAGGAGGTCCAGGAAAAAAGGGTCTAGCATAGCCCCACCAGCCAGAAGCCTCACACCCTGGAGCCCCACCCCCACTTATTAAAAGGTAGAATGGCAGGTGGGCGGAGGCCTCCCACAGCCCCTTCCAGTCCCAAGGTGGCAGAGACAAACCTGGGAGGTACTTCAGTGTCCACGGGGTCTAGAGTAGTTCAAGCCCTCCTTGAAGGGTCGGAGGCAAGAGGAGGCAGGACTCTCACCCAGCCTCAGGGCCGGGCCCTGGTGGGCAGCTGACCCTGAGGCTATTGGGGCTATTGGGGCCTGCCCAGAGGGCCTGACAACCACCCCGACAGGCTCCCCATGAGTTAAGGACACTGTGGTCAAAGCTAGGCCGGTAAACCTCTCAACACCACGGCACTGGGTATGGCATTCACACACCAGCCCCGTGCAGCCCCTGACACCCCAATAGTCATGGGCTGCAGCCTGCTTGGAAGTGTGTCCAGTGGGGAGCCCCTGGTTGGGCCGACTCACTCACATCCTGGCCATCACAGCCCCGAGCTCTCCAGGTGGCTGAAGGTGGACACTCACCCTCGGGTCTGTGGTCGCCTAGCACTGGCTTCCAGGTCCAGCAGCTCAGGGAGGGCATCCCGAAGGGGCTGCAGGTCCCCCACCACCACCGTGGCCCGCCTCTTCCGCTCCGCCTTGAGCTTCTGCTCAGCCAGCTTTATGGCCTCAATCTCTGTGGAAGGGGGACAGGGGTCAGAGAGGGGGCTGAGGGCTGAGGAACCCAGCCATCGGAGCCCAAGCCTGGGCCTGCTCCCTCTCCGCCCGCTTCCTGCCACAGGCAGGCCACGCATGTCCATGCTCCTGGCACCTGCAAGCCTCCCTGGGAAGTGGGGGCGCAGGGCGGGGCAGGCCAGCTCCGAGCTATTCTCTCCCCTCATCACAGAGGCGCACTTTTCAATTCCAGGGTTGGTGACGACTGGAGTGCAGGCACTGCGGACTTTTCTTCTTGGAAAAAAAATTCAGGCCAGGGCTCTCAGTGGGTCGGGGGCGCCACACAGTCCCAGAGAGGTTGGTGGGTGTGTTACACACTCCTCCACTCCCCCAGTGCCTCCTGGGGGTGCACACAAAGGGAGAACCCCGAGGGAGTGGGTGATGGCTCGGGGTTAGCGGTGGGGTTCCTAACACTGAAATGGGGAGGGGACTAGTGCCCTGGGGAGGTCTCAGAGGGCTCCACACGGCCCCTGGGAAGGGGCCTGGGGCCAGAGGAAGGGGTGGCGGAGCAGAGCAGGGTGTAGAAGAGCCCGAGGATGAGGCTGCAGTGGGCGGCAGGGCAGCGGCCTGGGCCCTGGAGAGGAGGTTCGGGCAGGGCCTCACCAGGGCACAGCTTTGCAATTTGATTTCCATTTAAACATGTATTTCAAAACTGCTAATAAAACACACAAACATGTGATTTCCATAGTGTGGCTTGTGGGAAATGCTGGCGGACAGATCTCGAACACAGGTCTCCCTTCCCCGAGGCCAGGGCTCGAACACCACCTGGGGCCCCACAGGCAGCCGAGGCAGAGGGGCTGCTATGCTCCCTGAACCTGGGCTAACTGGCCGGGCGGCTGGCTCTGCACCAGATTTGTCATACCGAGAAAAGGGCCTGCCACTAAGACCGCTCAGAAACGAGGGCAGCGATGGGCTTGGGGGGAGACCTGGCTTCCCAGCCCCCTCATCCTGTGCGCTGGGCTGTAAATGACGAGGTACGGGCTCTGAATCACATCCAAACTGGGAACAAAAAGCCCCTCCCTGACAAAGGACCAGGACAATTCACAGCCAGCTCCTTGCAGAGTGCAGGATGCCCCTGGAAGAGAGGCAGCCAGTGGCCTGGTGGGCTAGTAGCAGGCCGCTCCCCCTGTGTGTTCTGGGGACCCCGAGGCCTGCCAGGCCCTTCAGAGCACAGGGCTGCCGTCAGCCCCTCAGGGTGGATGCAGGAGGCAGTGATGGGCACAACAGTGATGGCTGCCAGGCACAGAGCAGGCTGTGAGAAAACAGGGACCTGGATGGGGAGCCCCGTGCCTGAGGACAGATGCAGGACAGCCCCTGATTAATGCAGAGAAAGCGTGAGTGGCACTGGGCCCAGGCACGTGTGAAAGACACGTGGTAAGTGAGGACCCTAACAGGCATTTCAAGAGGCGAATTTCCAGAAACTGACACCATTCATCTTCTGCCAGGGAGAAGCTCCCGAAGCCAGCTTCCCGAAGGCCAGCTCTCCCAGCTCCCAGCCGAGGCAGCGCGGCCCGCCCTGACACCCCCGGCTGCCCAGAGCCAGCTCTGGAAGGCCCACCCGGTGTAGAATGGGTGGTTCTCCTGGTCCCAGACAGCTGAGTTCAGGGGACAGACTGCCCAACCTCCCAGGTCCTTGTGCAGCGAACCCCAACTATCCCTCAGAGCCCCGGGGTTATCAGACTGCATAAACTGACCATTTGGGTCTTCCCATCCTTCCAGGATGAGGGCAGGCCGTTTGCTCAGCACCTTATCACACCAAATGCCTCTTCCTAAAGAGCCTGAGCAACCAGGGAGGGCTCAGGGGCAGGTGGCTGGTGCTGAGGTGGCCAGGGTGGGGGCCTCAGGCTGGGGAAGGCGCAGGAGGAGCAGTGCTCCGAAGCCACCGCACCTTTACCAGCTGGATTGGCAGATTCGGTAACAACACCGCACCGGGACCAAGGACCAAATGCAGCAAAGCAGATACCACGGCTCCCAGGAAGATGGACACAAATGCTAAACCAATCAAAGCCAAAGCATGTTAACACATGGTGTCCAACTACAGAGTGTCTGAAGCCTGCAAGGACAGCTCACATGGGGACATCTGCCAGACAGTCCACTGCAGCAGCTGCTTCAGAGGGGAAGGCCATCAGTCACCCAAAGTACCAAAAGAATCCAACAGAACTCACTACCCACTCATGATAAAAACAACAATGAAGCCGTGAACGGAAGGAACTGCCTTAACCTGACACAGAGGACCTACCAGACGAGCATCGCACCTGTGGTGAAACCGGGCCACACTCGGCCATGAGGCAGAGGAAACTCTGCCGACCCCGTGCCCATCCCCGCCGGCGGCACAGGGCCAAGGGAGGGACGGTGGACGGGGTGACCTCAGCCTGGGGATGCACCGGCTGCCGTGACATATGCGGGGGCCGGCCTGGCCTCCCCACCAACACACAAGTCTGACGCACCTCAGTCACACCCAACAGGAGTCTTCAATGAACCTGAGACGCTCATTCTAAATCATATTTTTTAAAAGCCATAAATGCATAAGAATAGTCAAAACGGTTCCAGAAAAGAAACAGGCAAACAAAGAGCCGGCCTACTGGATGTTAAAGCAAATTAAGAAAGGACAGGACTTCAGACAGACCCACGGGCGAGAGGGCTTCACGGGAGGCCACGGCCTTGAAGCGGTCGGCCCTCCCTCCCTCCCTTCTTCCTGCTGCTCCTAAAATTAATTATACAAGAATTAATCATGGCGCATCAGAGAGAAATTAAAGGCCAAAAAACACAGAGAGAGCTGTTCAACCCCACCTGAAATCAAGGAAAATGACAATGGTGAATGCCATCTGTCACCTGTCAGGGAGGCAGATTTTACAGCCTAAAAACACCAAGTGTGAGGGGCCTGAGGGTCAGTGGGGACTGGGAGCCTGAACACTGGGGAACGGCGAGGTAAGGACAGTCAGGCGGAGCAGTGCGCACCCCCACCCAGCCTCCTGGAGCCACAGGGCGCCCCATGTGCCCTGAGAGCTGGCCTGTCTGGTCGGCCGCACCTCACGGCTCCGGGTGCCGGGGAAGCATGTGAATGGGAGGAAGGGGGTGGGCCTTGCAGTGGGAGGACCGACAGGGCACAGGCCCTGGGCAGGAGCTGCACGCAGCAAGGTGCAAGAGCTGGACCCACGGGTGAAAACCCACACGCTCCCCCCCACCGTGTACTTCTAAGCCCCATGCCCCAGCGTGAGTGCACGAGTGCAGAGAAAGGCCTAGCAGTTTAACCTCACACAACCAGCCAGTGCTTGCTCCTGGGAAGAAAACCAGATGCAAGTTTGGTGGCTTTATCGGTTTTCCTTGAAGAGTTTCACAACTGACTTCTTCTTTGCAATAAAACATTCCTCTGTCCTCAGATGTGGATTTCCTTCCATCCCAGCCCGTAAGGGGAGGGGGTGCCAGGGATGGGGAGAAGCGTGAATTTAAGGGGTGTCGGCTCTGTGCCAACGGGCTCCTCTCCCACCTCTGCCCTGTGCCCCACAGAACCCACCACCCCTTCTGGCAGGGAGAGTGGTGCAGGGAGGAAGGAGGGCGAGCCTGAGCAGGTTCGGCCCGGCCGCCCCTCCGCCCCTGCTCTCCTAGGGATGAGACTCCTCCCTTTACCCCACAGACCAGGTAGGTCCTGGTTTCCCAGGACCCTGGGGGCTCATCATCCTCACTGGCCCCCCACACCCCTGTACCTAAGCTGTGCATAGCCCCTTCATCTGCTTCTCTCCAGGAACCCCTTCTGAGGGTGCTGGACCGGACGGGCCCACATGCTAACATCTGTCCCCCTGGAAGCAGGGTTTCATAGCCAGCCTACTGGAGAGCAAAGGGGGACAAGAAAAAGTCCCTTCTATCAACTCTGTGGTTTAAAGCAGCAGGTTCTGAGCAATGGCGGTTGGAGAGGACCCCCAGGGCCTGGCTGGGGGCAGGGGAGGCTGTGTCCTGCGCCCACACTCCCCTCCAGGGCCCACTGCAGAAAGGGCCCCACAGACTGACAGGCTTCACCCTAAAAGGTTTAATTTAAAAGCTGGAGGTGCAACTGAGGAGGCAGAACAGGGCTTTTGGTCAGGATGGCAGCGCAGGGAAGCGTGGTACTCGCCTCCTCCCGCAACCACATCGGAACTGCAACTAAACTACGAACCACTGCCACGCAGAACCACCTGAAACCTCACAGAACTGAAGTCCTATAACTGAGGACAGACAGAAGAGGCCACATCGAGACTGGCAGGAGAGGGGAAGTGCTGAATGGGCTGGCCCGACACCCACGTGTAACGGTTACTAATCGGGAGTGCTATCTCGGCTATGGGGGCCGTGAGGAGCAGGGGGTCCCAGCCCCACGCCAGGCCCCTACCCAGGGATCCAGTACTGGGAAGAGAAGTCCCCATAACTCCTCTCTGAAAACCGGCAGAGACCGTGGCTGAGACGGGCGGCTCCCGGAGCCCCGGTGTCCCTCTCAAAGGGCCCACAAGCTGACTTCCTCGGACTCACTGCCTCTGAGCTCCAGTGCTGGGGCAGCACTTAAAAGGTGCCAGGCACATAGTGGGGAGGCTGAATTGTCCATCAAGGGCTGGACAAAGGCAGCTTTTCCCGGGACACAAGTGCTGGCAGAGGCCATCGTTCCTTTGCTGAGCCCTCCCCCAACACAGCCAGCAGCGGGAGCCGTATCTGAGTTCTCGTCAGCCTGGCTAACACTGTGCACCCCGTCTTGGTGATTCCCTGAGACCCCGCCCCACCCAACCTGTAGGGCTGCCCAAGCCCAAGAGTTCCCAATAGTTTTTACCATACATACCAATGGTCTGCCTTGGCTCCTGCTTCAGACCTTTCTGAAATCTCCCCAAGGCTCACAAACCCCGAACAGGCAGCACCTGGCCTCGTCGTGCCCTGCACGTATCCTGAGTGGCCCCAGGCTGGCTCTAGCCGCAGCCGTTGTTGGTTTGTAGGGTGGCCTCTCCC